ATATGAATTATAAAGTGTGGTAGCCTTGGGCAGAAAGGACTTGAGTGTAGGCAAGAATTGGAATGGGCAGGTCAGGTTTTTTTAAAGCTAGGTGGTCAGTGCAACCGTCTCTGAAGCCTTGTGACGTTATTTTCAGGCTCAGCCTCTGCATGTGAAATGAGGATGTTTTTCTCCCCTCAGGTATTTCCAGCCCATCCAAATGTTTGTTGGGATGACAGTGGTCACCACGTTGTTCCTGGGCTTCATCTGGGCTGCAGAGAATAAAGCTCCCATCCGCCGTTTCCGTAGAAACCACCCATTATTGGCTGTACTCGCCATTCTCTTGGCCAGTTACCTCTTCATATCGGTGTTGGGAGGAGTGGCTGTGTTCCTGTTTGGAATAGCAAGCCCAGTACTGAGTAAGACTGCAAGCACACACCTGTATTCATTGTTTCAGATCTTCAGTTTGTTTTCTGCCTTGTAGTTGTGAAGTTTTTTCTTTCAACAACTGAACATGTTTTGAGTTCTCTACATGGATGCATCCCAGCAAATAAGAATATCATCTATTTGAGTAATTCATTTTGAAAAGTTAATCCTATAATAAATTAATAATAAATAAAGGGGCATGTTTTCTATTTATGATGATTATAAAAAGTGAATAAAAAACAAAATATTTTTTCTCAGAACATGTGAATCATCAGAGTAATGAAATGATTTTCAGTCCAGCATTGGGCGATCAGCCTGTAGTTCAGGCTCATCTCATCTTCTTTTTGACGATCCTCCAGAGATTCTCCAGTGTTTGCTGGTCAATCCAGCACCGTGATCTCAAGGAAGGTGCTGACCCTTCTGTGGTGTGGTCAGAATGCAAGCCCTGCTTGGAAATGACTTCACCATGTCCGGTACTGCTAACGCTTTCATTTGGTCTGATGTCATTTTGTCATTGTCTGAGAAACTGAATTGGGATGTTCATTAAATTTAAGTTGACAGAAATAAGCAGTTCAGAAATACAAATATATATATAGTGAATCTGTTGCAAAGGTGCTTCACTATATGAATTTAATTACTAAATAGAAATGTTTTTAATTGAAATGCACCTGTGCATGGACACCTGTGCGTGTGTTTTCTGCCCCTTATCCATTGAGAATAGTGAAAATCATTTCTGTTTTGATAAAGAATCTGGTCATCTGTTTTTTTTTTTATTTATATATTATCTAATAGCAGAAGTCAGCTCAAGATATTTTCACCATAATGGATGTAAAATAAAAAAAGAACAAAAACAGGAGTTTTTATTCTTTATTTTGATGTACATAAAAGGTTGATTAGTTTGTCCCTGTGTATTTCCAGTGGTTCTGGTCCATGCGTCGATGAGACTGCGGAACCTAAAGAACAAGCTGGAGAACAAACTGGAGAGCATCGGCCTGAAGCGGACCCCCATGGGGCTCCTGCTGGAGGCCCTGGGGCAGGAGCAGGAGGCCGGCTCCTAAATGCCCAGGAGGGGTACAGGTTCACATCATCTTTATTTTCTAATCAGAAACCAGAAGAAAATCGACCAAATTGGACAAGTTTTATAGTTTGACAATTTTTGCACATGTGGTTATGGTTATGGAGTAAGGGACTGAAGGTCCTTTTTATTATGGAACCTTTTGTAGTTTCATCTGTTATCCTACCCAGCTGGTCTAAACCGCCTTATGTTAACATTTACAGGACTTACCATTGGAACAAAAAATCATTTTACATGAATACATCATGTTGTAACAATGAAGGAGCAAACAGGCTAGCCCAGTGATTTCCAACTTGTAACTTGAACTAGACCTCCAAACACCCTGAGTGTCCATAACCGTTTCACACCACACTCACATGCACCTACACACACGCACACAACAGCTAAGAACTCTATGTAGAGCAGTGTCTGGCTGATTATTAATGTAGGTTTAGATAATGAAGAAGATTCCAGCAGATCAGCTAATGTGATCACTGATCAATGACTTTCTTAATCATTGATTATTTTTTTTTAGATAAAGACATTTCCTCCTCCCATCTGTGATACTCTGTGCTGGAAGCAGGAAATGATGATCCTGTGATAAACCCTCAGTTAAGCAGCATGTGTTGAAGCTCGTTGCAAATAGATTTGTGAAGACAGACTAACAGGACTGTTTCCTCTGCAGAGTGAATGATTTTAACTTTAACTTGACATTTTCTAACCCAGTTCTGATGGGTTTAAATATACAGTTTATGTAATCAGTTCAGGTGTTGCACCTTAATTGAAATTTTCAACATTTTCCTTCAGTTCCACAACAACTGGCCGAAAGCTACTCTGTGTGTAGCCGCAGTGTTTGGTGCCTTTAATCTTATATTTCAATAACTGAGTTTTTATTTATTTTTTATTGGTTTTCTTTAAAACATATTTTTCACAATAGTGCCCTCCTTTGGGTGATGGGGGAGCTGTGGGTTCTGCCCCCCCCCCCCCCCCCCCCCCCCCCCCCCCGCCTCGCCGTCCCCGGCGCGCAAAGAAGGGGGGGGGGGGG